GCAGACCAAAAATCCTCTCATAACAGGTATCATTTTCTGGGTCAAAGATGCTGTTTTGATGGTCTGCAACAGTCTGTCTTAAAATCATCTGTTTACTTAAAATGTTTATTATTTGTGCTTAAATGGCTCCCTGCTATAACAACTTATTCTTTTGCTGTATGTACGTAGTGTTATAACAAGTTATTCCTGATCAGCCAATTGATTATATTGGCCCAGATGGAGTGGCTTTATGGATAAACTAAATATTATTTCTCCTTAACTTTTACTACAAACAGTATTTTTTTAACCTACAAAGATGATTCATTTGTTCAGCATGTACTTAGAACTGAAGATATAGCTCAGAACATGTAGAGCATGTGCTTAGTATATGGGAGGGCCTACATTCAATCCCCAGCATAAAAAAAAGTATAGATAGATATAGGTATATACAATATCCTTTAAATACATCCCCAAAGCTATCAATAGATGAAATACAGGGGTATATAATATAGACAAGTTCTTTGTTTTGTGGAACTTACAGTGTTAAATGAGGAATTCCATAAGACATTTATTTAATTAAATCCTTCATTTGATAACTAATTGCTATTGTGATAAGTGCTCTAAAGGGAGGAGAGCTAGGCATGTAGCTTAGTAGTAGAGCAAGACATATAGCTTAGTAGTAGAGCACTTGCCTGATATGGATGAGGTCCAGCCCTCTATTCTTAATACTACCAAAACAAAAACAAAATACCTGCTTTAAAGAGAAAGCACAGAGTGTTCTGAGAAACCTAGGCTCAGGAAAGTAAGGTCAAGTTATAGTTTTAAACACCTTCGGTACTTCCTCATTTCAAATACTGAAAGGTAAGATTACTCTCATGATCTGTATAATATTCTAAAGATGGATAAATTTGGAAAGATATTTTTACACAAGAAGGCTTATGATCATTTATTTAATCTTTTAGTTTAATAAATGTCTGGAAAGGAGACCATATTTATCCAAGGACATGTAAGCTGCTACTGGCAGGGTTATGACTTGAACACAGGTCTGCTAATCTTTCTATTACCTCTCTACAATAACTTGAAAAATAAAGAAATTATATAGATAAGCTAGTTCTGGTTAAATGAACTGTTCATCAGCATTTGGCATAAAGGAGTCTGTAGAGTAATGGATAAGGTGAGTGAAAATACAAGCAAAAACATAAAATTTGCCTTATTGGGCTGTTTGTATGTAGTCATAGTAAAATTTCAATAAGTAAACTAAAGTCAGGGGTCAAGGATATAACTCAGAAGTAGAGCCTGCTATGCTAAATGTCCTGAGTTTTATCCTCAGCACAGAATGTAAAGGAAAGATAATGAGTTAGAATTAGTGGAAATATGCATAAAGGAAAATCCTTCTGTGTCTTTAAAACATAAATTCTAACCACTAAATACATCTACAGCACGTAGTTTTTAAAACCCATTTTTATTCATATATAATATTTTACATGTAAGTTATTCTGGCTGCTCTGTAACCTGAATGGTTTCTCATTTAGATTAAACATAGCTTCTGATATTTTGTTCCCAAGTATAATTACCCTTTATACTTCTATACCCTTTCGGGCTAGAAAAATCTAGTTCTTCCTAATTTATTATTTGGAAGATTTCAAATCCATGAAATATTACTATTCATTTCAGAGCTGTTAAAATTATTTGACTTATGAAACTAGGAGAGAGGTATTAGACCTCAGAGAAAAGGCCAGTCTTGAATGGATTGCTGAGCATATACTCAGCCTAGGGTAAGCATAAAGTGAATTGGTGAGATAAATTAATCTTTATAAAATTACCAGTTTTATATGTTAAAAAAAACAAATATTGGTGAATGTACTCAAGTGATTGATAGGAATTTACACTCTAATGTAGACAGGTGTAGATATTAAGTTCATGTATATTGGCTATACTCCTGAACTTTTGCAAATGAGAAATTCTGATTATAAATTAACTTTTAATTTCATGTGAAATCATGGTTAAATGTAGGCATGTGGTATACTCACTTTGGAAGCTAAAAACATTTTAAAACATTTTTAACTTAGATAACTCCTGTTATCTACACACTAAATGAGAGTGAATGAAGTAGGAAAATAATTATTTGATAAAGAAAGGAATTGAAGGGTGTTGTTCATTTTAATAACCAAAATGTTAGTGGTGTAAAGTCAAATGAGATTAACAAGATCATTGTGCATTTAGCCCCTTTTGTATTCATTCCAGTTCTTAGTCTTAGCACTGAACATCTTCAAATCTTAAACATCTTTAATCTTAGAAATCAGAAGGAAGAAAGGAATTAGTCAGTATGCAAATTAACCAAGTGTAAGATGCTTTTTACTAGACAGTTTGTGTATGATTGCATTTAATTCTCACAATAACCCTGTAAGACAGTATTTTGTTTTACAATTAAGGAAACTGAGATCTCAGGAAGTTAAATACACACACACACACACACGTGCATGCACGCGTGTGTGCGTGCGTGCGTGTGTGTGTGTGTATGGTGACAGTTTCTTAGTGTTAGAGCTAGGATTTGGATATTCTTGTTTTTACTGTGAACCATGTTACCTATCTCATTTGTTTGTTGTTTGTTTTGCTCTCGCGCGCACGTGTGTGTGTGTGTGTGTGTGTGTGTGTGTGTGTGTAAACATGCGCATGTGTGCGTGCTCGTGCGCGTGTGTGCTGGTCATGGGGCTTGAAGTCAGGACCTGGGCATTTTCCCTGAGCTTTTTTTCTCCCTCTCAAGGCTAGCACTCCACCACTTGAGCCTCAGCTCCACTTCTGGCTTTTTGGGTTGGTAATTGGAAATAAGATTCTTAAGGATTTCCCTGCCCAGACTGGCTTCAAACCTCAATCCTCAGATCTAGTAGCTTCTGGCTGTTTTTTGGTTTGGTTTGGTTTTGTTGGTTTTTAATGACAAAAACTCATTTGGTCTTACATTAAGATCTTTGATCCATTTGGGAGTTGATTTTTATACAGGGTGAGGACTAGTTTCAGTCTTTTGAATGTATGAACAGTTTTTCCAGCACCATTTGTTAAAGAGGTTGTCTTTTTTCCAGTGTATGTTTTGGAATTCTTTGTCAAAACTCAAGTTACAACTATGTGGGTTTATTTCTGTTCCATACTATTTGTTGATCCTTACATCTGCTTTTGTGCCGTTGGTGTCTTTGTTACTACTGGCCCTATAGTATAATTTGCAGTCCAGTGTTATACTCTAACATTGTTCCTTTTGCTCAGGATTATTTTTGCTATTCAGATCTTTATACTTCTAAGTATATCTGAGGATTGATTTTTGCATTTCTGCAAAGAATGATATGGGACTTTTATAGGTATTTCATTGGATCTGTAGATTGCTTTTAATGATAAATATTTACATAAAAATAATCCTCCTGGCTGGGAAGGTGGTTCAGTGGTAGAGTGCTGGCCTTGCATGCATGAGGCCCTGGGTTCGATTACTCAGCACCACATAAGCAAAAAGAAAAAAGCCAGAAGTGGCGCTGTGGCTCAAGTGGTAGAGCACTAGCCTTGAGCTGAAGAGCTGAGGGACAGTGCCCAGGCCCAGAGTTCAGGCCCCACGACTGGACACCCCCCCCAAAAAAAAATCCTCCTACCAAGTTGTGAACTTGTGATTGTTCCATTTTTTTGCTCTTTTCAGTTTCTTTCTTTTTTTAGTTTCCATTGAAAAGGTCTTTCACCTCTTTGCCAAGTTTATACCTAGGCATTTTACTTGGTGAAGGGGATAATTGTGAGTGGAACTGTTTTCCCGATTTCTTTCTTGGCCTGTTCATTGTTGGTATATAGAAAGATCTGAATCACTGAAACCACTACAGGAAATTAGTCAACAGGTAAAGGAGTCATATATTGTAAATATACAAAGAGCTAAAAAAAAAAAAAATTAAGCACATGGGCATGTGGCTTAGTGGTAGAGTGCTTGCCCTGAGTGATTTCCTGGGTTCAATACCGCAGTACCATTTTTATAAACATAAAAAGCCAGAAGTGGCTCAAGTGGCACAGTGCTACCCTTGAGCAAAAAAGAAGTTTGGGGACAGTACCCAGGCCCTGATCTCAAGGCCCAGGACTGGCAAAAAATAAATAAATAAGCACCAAAAGAACAACAAAATTAATAAATGGGTAAATGAATTTAGTAGATCTCAGAAGAAGTCCAAATATTTAATTAATAAGCCATAAGGAAATACAGATCAAGACTAAACTAAGATTCCATTGTTGTTGTTGTTGTTCCAACAACAAAAGTTGGAAAGGATAGGAGGACAGCTTATACACTGTTGTTCAGAATGTAAACTTACTACAGGCACTATAGAAATTAGTATAGTGGTTTATCAGAAAGCTAAGAACATACCTATCTTATTACCCTGCTATCTTACTCTTGGGCTTATTTCTGACTGTTTTCTTCTAAAGCAGTATATCTGTGTACTCGCATTTATTTGTTGTAGCTCTGATTACAATAGTAAGCTGTAGAATCAGCCAACATACCCAACAGTTGATGAATGGATAAGAAAATACAGTGTGTCTGTGTGTCTGTGTGTCTGTGTGTAATGTATGTATGTATGTATGTATTCAAGCAGATGTTCAAGTATACACATATACTGTACTGTATGACTCAGCCATACAAAAAATAAATTGTTATTTTCAGGAAAATGGATAGAACTAGATATCATCATGTTAAGTGATATAGGCCAAACTCAAAAAGCCAAATATGTTTTCATTCATTGTATAAGGTAGAACTAAAATGAGGAGGAGGAGGAGGAAGAGGAGACATGAATTAAAAGAGACTTTGGGGAAGGGCTCACTTGGAGAGGAGCACAAAGGAGAAGAAAAGAATACTGAGGGATGATAATTGAAATAATATTGCATACACACACACACAGTGTGTTCGGTATATTCCATACATCTATGGAATTATCACAGTGAAACCCCCTGGTGCTGTTGATGTATGCTACTTAAAAAAATTTTTTAACTCATTTGATCCTTTTCTTTCTTATAAGGATGAACGTGAAGCCAGAGAAAATGTGAAAAGAGAACAAGATGAGGCCTATCGCCTTTCACTTGAAGCTGACAGAGCAAAGGTAAGTGTGGTCAAGGTGCTTCAGGAATACAGACCTGAATCCCGAACTCTGGGATCTGAATAACAGTCTTCTTTTCACTTTGAGCCCTAAAACTACTGAGTTCAGTGAGCAAAAGTTTCAGTGGAAAGTATTTTTCAGGTTTTTTTGGGAAAAATCAGGAAATTAAAGTGTTTATAAGTGTAGTATAAATGAACTAGATGGGGGAAAATGGAGTAATACAAGTTAGCAACCAGAATGACAGGAAAGGGTGAAACTATATGAATAGAGCTTTGAGATTGGGAGATTTAGAGAGAGCTGAAAGGGCCGGAAAGGACACAAGAAAGGTCCTAAAGAATCTTGACTACCACCTTACCTAGAGCTCTCAAAGGCTTTTGCAGAAGAATCCAGCACTCTCAGAGAGGTGTGGTTTTCATTCTTTTTATAGAAAGAAACATTGCTGTAACCACAGTGTACCTCTGGATTTTGTTGAGTAAGCCCTTTGGATATAACTTGCTCTTTTTTCCTCTTTTTTTTAAAAGGTAAACATATATTAAATGTTTGCTTCCCTTCTATTTTATTGACAGAGGGAAGCTCATGAGAGAGAGATGGCAGAACAGTTTCGCTTGGAGCAGATTCGAAAAGAACAAGAAGAGGAACGTGAGGTAGGACACAGCAAGTTATTTTCAGAACCTGGGTTGTAATTCCACTGTATTTTATGCTGAGGCTGTTACTCTTTGTTACAGTATTTCTACTTTTCCCTAACTCATTTACCCTAACTTTTCTTTAAAAAGAATCATTCCTAAGCTGTTATATAGAATTCTTAGAGAACTTGACCATGTACTAGATTCATGATGTTCTGATATCATCAATCCCATTCTCTCTTATTGTCTAACAAATACTTCCCATCTTTCCTTGATATTATCACATTCCAAGTAATATAGTGACTTTATTTCCCTAACTTCTCACCAAAAGATATAGTAAGTTATTTCCATTTAAAAGCAAACCATAATCTTAGCAGTTAATGATATAGACCATTCCCCACTTTCCAAAGATCTCATAAGGAAGAAAGGAAGCAAGCAAGCAAGCAAGCAAGCAATTGATTGCAGTTAGAATGATAGTACCATATGATTTACTTGGAAAAAGAAGCAGCCCCTTACCAAGTGTTGAAAAACTTGAAAAACCTTAACTGCATGTGTGAGGAATTCTACTAGTCATCATTCTTAGTCAAAATATACCACCTCTTTTACATTTTTCACATATTTTTTGAGCAAGAATTGTGCTGAGCACTGGAAGAGAAACAGGAACCATAAGATGTTTTCTGCCTGTAAGAGCAGATTACGTCTTGGAGGGAAGATTCATGTCTGCAGGGAGAAACACTCTAAATGAAAGGATAAGTCAAAACAAAATACTTAGGGATTTCAGAGACCACGGAAAAATCTTTCACAGTTTTGATAATCAGTCAATAATGGGAGAAGTAGTATTTGAGTCAGGTCTTGAAAGATGTGTGAGCTTACACTATTTGAAAATCAGTTTGTTCATTTTCTGACTTATTGAGTACCTGTCATAATATTTAAGGCACTATACCTGACAAACCCTGGTTCTCTGTTCTTTGAAGATAGAAAATACTTTGTTGAGCATCTTCTGTTTTGCGTATACTTACTCATTAACCATGAGAACAAGATGCAACATAAGGAATTTCTCTTTACAAGTAAAAAAAAAAAAAAACTGAAGCCTATTGAGTTACACATATAGAAATGGGAACAGCCAAATTATCAGCTAGTCTTTATGACTACAGAGCTTATGCTTTTTCTTATACTCTATTCCAATCCAAGGTCATATGCTTTTTTATTTGTCTATAGGAGTCACATAAGGGAGAATTACTTGCCATTCTTGTAGGCTGTTTCAAGAGACATAGTTTTAAAACATAGGGGAAAAAAAATAAACATAGGGTTCCTGCTCCTTCATGCTTTCACACGTGATCATTCCCTCCTTATAGTACATCTTTAATCTTAGAAGCAATCTAAAATGTTGAGTACACAATTAACTTATTGATCAGGATTTAGACTTGATTCTAATGACTTACATAGTTTACCCTGAGCTAAAATTTTCTTTATCAAATGTAGATACTAATAAATGTAAGGTCCTCATAGAAAACCCTCCAAATATCCTTATAACTGTTCTCTGATCTGAAAATCCAAAATCTGAAATGTTCCATCATCCCCAAAAGGCTTTTAGATTTAGGACTCATTCCTGAGATATCCCAATATGTATGTACAGATATTCAAAAGTCAAAAGACATTCTTAAGTCTGGAGCATTTGTAGTCCAAAGCATTTCAGATAGAAAATAACTTGGAGCATGTGTGTGTACAATTGTTAAGTGAAAAGATGGAACACAAGGAAAGGGAGGAAGGGTAGGGCAGGTGTTTCAGCTAGTCATCTCTTGCATTTGTCCTTCCATGTACTCCCAGAAAAGGCAAGTTTCAAAAATACTCTGTACTGCCGGGCACTGGTGGCTCACGCCTGTAATCCTAGCTACTCAGGAGGCTGAGATCTGAGGATCTCGGTTCAAAGCCAGCCCGGGCAGGAAAGACCATGAGACTCCTATCTCCAATAAACCACCAGAAAACTGGAAGTGGCACTGTAGCTCAAGTGGTAGAGTGCCTGCCTTGAGCTGAAGAGCTGAGGGACAGCGCCCAGGCCCAGAGTTCAAGCCCCACGACCGACCAAAAAAAAAATACTCTGTACCTTACTCTCCCTAATCCAAGCCTTACAAAGGCTGTTGTATATTTCATCAAATTTTAATCTAGTCTTTTCCAAAGTTTTTGACCTTGTTCATTTGTTTTGCATGGGATACCAGATAACATTTCAGCACATTAGGGTACTACAAATTATCATACCAGGAAAAGGCTGGTGTTGTGCAACCTGTATGAAACTGAGACCCAGAAAGGTTATACAGTTTGCCAATGTCACCAAACTGGTTGAACATATAATCTGGACAAGAAGCCAAGTCACCTGATTTTCTGTAGTAGTATGGCCTCCCATCTAACCGAAACCTAACCCATATAATTACATTGAGAAACAAGTGGTTTTTGTCACTTTTATTATCTACAGTATTTCAAGGTCCTTTAGAAAAATAAAGTATTATATAGTCAAATCACCCTTGTCTATCAGAAACTATTTAGTACTTGTCATGTGGCAATTGAATGAAATCAGTAAAAATATAGAAAGGCAGATTGCTCTGGTCCTTGAATGTGATAAGGAAAATACTTGTAAAACTATTCTAAAGGAAAATCATAGAAATTATAACAAACTTCCACTTTACTAATGTATGTGTTTACTTACTCTTTCTAAAATCACTATCAAGTAATGTTCATAAATATATGTAATTCTAAGGTATTAAAAAAAGGAACAATAGATGTAGAAATAAACATTAAGGGAAAATACAGGAAGATTAATTGAAAGGTGATATTAGTATGTTTACAACAGATAGTCCAGCAGAGGCACTAAATGAACATGATGGAGTTCTATATGTGAGCTCAAAATGAATCACAAAGTTTGTTCCATACTTCTTTTGAGTAAAAAATAGAGAAAAATGTGATAATTTAGAAATGCCACTTTGTAAATAATAACAGATAAAGACTAATCTTTCAGAGTGTACCTGGATTTTTCTAACATTGAGATGTTAGAGCAGTGTTTCCCCTTCACGAGGAAGCTTTGTGATGTGGTAAATATTATTTCTGACCATAGCTACAATAGCTAAGTCATGTATGACAATTTCTTATAGCTTTTTACATGAAATTTAAACTCATAAAAGTTTGAGCTTATGGTACAAGGTAAAATCATCTCTACAAAGGGCCAAATAACATGTTTTTCTGTAAGTTCAGTTTAAACAATAGATCTTTTCCTTTACTTTCACCCTTGGATACCGGATCTTACTTAGCCAGGCTGAACTCAAACTCACAATCTTCTTGCCTCAACCTTCAAGTGCTGTTATGATAGCATAAGAAGTGAATCTAATAGAAACTGGCAAAATGTATGAACTACTTGCCATCCAAGTATTGGGGGTTTTGCCACTGCATTTTGGGCAGGAAAAAAATTTCAGCTAAGATTGCATCCAATCAGTATTCAGCAGAGATTTATTACTCATTAACTTTCTTCTGTATATAAATCATTAAATAAGTTACCATAGATAATTATATTATACTGTGTTGTATATGTAAAATATAATTAGTTCTGAGAGAGTTCACTGTTTAATGGAAGAAGTAGACAAATATAAATAAATAACTATAGAAAGAGACACTTTACATTATAAAATACTTGAGGCTGGGAATGTGGCTTAGTGGTAGAGTGCTTGCCTAGCATGCATGAAGCCCTGGGTTTGATTCCTCAGTACCACATAAACAAAACAAAAACATTATAAAATACTATAAAATGGAATAGCACTAAAGATATTTTGAAGAAGTTGATTTTTAGTAGTAGATTCTCAACAAGAAATACTTAACTTCTATGTGCTGCTAATAACTCACAACTATAATTCTAGCTACTTGGGAAACTGAGATTAAGAGGATTGCAACTTGAGACCAGTCAGAATATACCTAAATCTTCCTCTCAACCAATAGCTGAGCACAGTGGTATGCACCTGTCATCCTAGCATCAGAGGAGGCCTAGATTGGGAGGATTATATTATGGTTACATACCAGCTGTAGTTTAAATTTTTTTTTAAAAAATTGTGAGATTCCATCTTAACAGAAGAAATTGGGCATGGTGGTTTGTGCCTGTCATCCCAGCAGAAAGCAAAAATAGGAAAGATTGTGGTCCAGAAGTCTGCCTAGGCAGGAAGCAAGATACTATCTCAAAAGGTAATCAGTGAAAAAACGACTGGGCATATCACTCAGCGGTAAAGTGTCTGTAAAGGCCTTAAGCTTAAATTCCAGTACTCCCAACCAGAAAAATAAACCTTCATAGAGAAAGGAGCTTTGGGAAGATTAAGAGGATTTTGATGGTTAACAATGAAATAAGACAGAAGAGCATTTTTTATTTATTTATTTATTTGTCAGTCCTGGGGCTTGAACTCAGAGCCTGGGCACTGTCCCTGAGCTTCTTTTTGCTCAAGGCTAGTGTTCTACCACTGAGCCACAGCATCACTTCTGGATTTTTCTGTGTATGTGGTGCTGAGGAATTGAACCCAAGGCCTTATGCATGCAAGGCAAGCACTCTACCACTGAGCCCTCTTCCCAGCCCTAAGAGAAGAACATTTTGATTGGAGTAATAAATAAATGTTTGGATGGAAGGCCAATGAAAGAGCATCACCTCTTAAATATGAACAAAGACATAGGGTTTGCTCAGAGAATATATGGATAAATTTAGAACACAGTCCAAATAATTAGAGCTATTGTTGAAAGATCCAATTTTTGGAGAATCATGAGTGGGAGAGAATAAACAAAGTCTACCTTCATCATCCCTGGCTATAAAAGAAATGCAAATAGGGTTGGGAAGGTGGCTCAGTGGAAGAGTGCTTTCCTTGCATGCATGAAGCCCTGGGTTCAATTCCTCAGCACCACATAAGCAGTAAAAGCCAGAAGTGGAGCTGTGGCTCAAATGGTAGAGCACTAGCCTTGAGCTGAAGAGCTAAGGGACAATGCCCAGGCCCAGAGTTCAGGCC